CTAACATGCGTTCAATGCAGGCTGATAACAATTCTCGGAAATCACCGTTGCGTTTAGGTTGCCAGTTTCCGTGATGTGCCCCAGGCCTTAGCAGTAGAATTATTTTAAAAGTAATTGTAATTTGCGTTTGAATTATTTGTAATTATAAAATGTACAGTACCTTTGGGTATTTTCTATGAAGTCTGTGTTGAGAAAGAGAAGACACGGGGAAGTCACATTTTTATGTACGTATATTTGAAGAAACGTTATTTCTAATAAATCTGTTATCTTATTTAACATGATGTTTGCTGAGGGTTGTACAATAAATGTTTATGTGTTTGAAAATAAACATCACATTCAAGATATGGGGCTTAGTTGTTTCTAAATATCTTATGGAGCTGGAGATGATGACAAGATGTAAATGTAAACGAACTGTTGGGCGGTGTATATCCTAAGTTCTAAATAACATTTGCATTTGAGTGTCAAAAATTAAAGCAACAGTGACGTTGAAGAAATCACAACATTTAAAATTATTTTTATTTATGTTTCAATTTCAAAGCGTACTACTTTATCTCCCTGTCATTCGACAACCCAAACACGCCAGAGGGAGTAGATGTTTCGGTGTCCAACCCTATGTCTAGTCCAACACAATTTGTGCTGGCCATGTTCCTCATGTCTATGACAAACTTTGGTGACTACTAGGCTGCGCCATAGCTCAAGCGGTTAGTCGCTTGCTTCCCACCGCGGCTGCCCGGGTTCGATCCCGGATCTGGTCAAGTGAGATTTGTGGTGGACAAAGTGGCGCTGGAGCAGGTTTTCTCCGAGTACTTCGGTTTCCCCTGCCAATTTTCATTCCACCATATTCTCCATCATCATAATCACCCGGAGCAGGCTACAACAGGCCAATCAGTGGCCGCCATGCCGAGTGGACCTAGTTGGACTCCACCACCCACTAAGCGAATAACCTAAACTGAAAGCCTGGTATTGAGAGTTTTCTTACATACCAAAAGTTTATAATTTGTACCACTCTATAACTGAAGTAGCTGTTTTATTGTGTATTTAACTTTGTATGCCACAATGAGAAGAATATTATAAAAGCTGACTGACTTGGACGAAGCTAAGTACAGTAGATGAAATTGTGTCTGATACAGCAGCTGTAGGTACATCCAGATTTTGGTGGCAGTTTAGGAATTAGGTACGTCACAATGGTTTCTGTGAGATGCAGCTCATCCTGACTTAGGAAAACATTTCACTATTCTGGAAGCCTGTAAGGCAACAATTTTCAACTGGTGTGCCATGATACACTGATGTGATGCGAAGAGTCAGCAGGTGTGCCGCACGAGTTTGGGGGTAGGTCAAAACGAAGTGAGAAAAAATTTTAGGAATAAAAAAATCGTTGAAATCCTTGACCAACATTATTCTTAAAAATAACAAAATGATTAGAATTTTAGCTTCTGAATTTTTAAACACAAACTTATTACAAGTTGTAAGATTTGAGGCTTTCACGGCGGTGACTATGAAGAAAGCAGTCTTCTGGGATTTGGCACCGTGTATATGTGGTGTTAACAGACGTTTCGGAGGAACGTCGGTTAACACCACATATACACGGTGCCAAATCCCAGAAGACTGCTTTCTTCTTATTACTAGTTTTTCAACAAAAAAATCTCTATTTAAAAAATTGATGCTGTACCTTGACAATTTTATGTTTAGTGTGCCATGAGTTGGAAAAGGTTTAAACAGTCTGTTCTATGGCATCTTTGTCAGTCTACAGCTCTTCCTTCTTTAATATTAACCTTGTAATGTATCAACCATTATGCAAGTCCTACCATACTACAATAGGCTGACCTTTTCATAATATGCTAAGAAGTATCAAGTATTTGTATATTATTTACAAAAGCCAATCGGTGTTGCAGCCATGTCAGTTTTTCATTGAATGCAACAACTCTACATTAACAATATATAACTGATAGGCTCAAATGTCCAGTGTCACAGTTTTTTCCTTATTTTGGGCCGTTTTTCTTGCTCTTTTTCTGTTGCATTTAAGACCCAATAAAAATGTTTTTCTTGTATCAGTTTTAACCAGCATTACAGTTCAGATTTAAAAGACACATTTGCATTGTGTGGTTACTCATTACAATATGACAGCACACCCTAGTTTCTTTATTTGATGATGATATTCAGGTGAGATACATAAACATAAGAAAATGGTACAACCATTAAAGATCCAAAATAAAACAACCTTAATAATCTATAGATGCTTTCAAATTATATAACTGGACAGAAGTGCAGTCACAGTCCACTTTCAATCTAAAACTTAATTTTAGGTGCAGATGTTCTGGTGAAATCTTTCATTCTAGGGGCCTCAGCTCATTTCCTTTAAAATCACTAGAGAGGCTGGTGAACAGGTATATAAGAGAGGGAGCTTTGGTGCAACACCCATGAGTCAGACAGTAATATATGGTCATGAATTGTGGGACTCAGGACCAAGAATTTCTGTGCTGGTGAGGGCCAGGGTCAATTGAGCAGTCAGTGAATTCACAAAAGGTGCAATAAATGCAGATGCACAGAAAGACTGACCCCTCCCCTCATCAAAGGAGGACCCACTTCTAAACATGTACATGTCTAGGAGAGAACAAAATATTGGTCCCAGATCTCAAAGAGACCTGACACCAAGGGTCATTGTGCTGGCGAGGACCAGCAGCAATTTAACCGACCGACTGAGACATCCACTGTAATCCCACCAGCATACATACCAGACCAGCAGATGCATGGAAACAACTCTTTAGTCTTCTTTACAAGACTGAGGGGGCACCTGATGATGTGACTGTCACTTCAGCTCTTCTGGACACAGTGCGTTTGACAGTACTACATTTCAGTCTATGTGTTAAACAGCTGAAGAGCATGAAGTGCAAACAAGCAGCAATAAGATGGATCCATGCCTAGAAATCTGCAGACTGTGACAAATCAAGAGGGTTGTATGATGGCTGTCTGTGGGGGGGGGGTTCTAACCCTCCTACTAAGGCCGCGCCATAGCTCAAGCGGTTAGTCGCTGGCTTCCCACCGTGGCGGCCCGGGTTCGATCCCGGGTCTTGTCAAGTGGGATTTGTGGTAAACAAAGTGGCCCCGGGGCGGGCTTTCTCCGAGTACTTCGGTTTCTCCTGTCAATCTTCATTCCACCAATAGCTCCACAATCACCCCACCTATCATCTGGGGCTGGTACAATAGGCCAGAAGTGGCCATAGTACAAGGGACTTAGTCCCACCCCTCTAGCAATAAAAAACCCTCCTACTGTAGGAGCTGGTGGTGGACAGCTCCCTGTGCAACTCAGTAGAGAGGGTCTACACATGCAAGGCTAGGCTGATGATATGGCTCTGGTGATAACTGGAAAGTCTCCAACTACTGTCAGAGAGCCATGGCAAAGAGCTCTGAACATAGTATAAAGATAGTATGGGGGCAAGGAGTTATCCTGATAAAATGAACCTCCTGCTTTTACGAAAAGAAAGCAAATATAGGTCCATAGAATCTGTTCAGCCAGATAAGATCTTACCAGGCTAGTGAAGTATCTGGACACTAGCTGATGTGGAAAGGGTTTGGGCATGTGAAACGAAGCCTCAGCAAAGCTTCCAATCATGTAGTAAAACCCTCGATAGAAACCAGGGGCTTAAACCGACTGTGCACTGGCTTCAAACTGAGGCAGTAAGGCCTATGCATATGCATGTGACACCAGTGTGGTAGCAGAGAGTTTGTTTGGTTACAGCTGTGGCTAAACTTAGGTGCCTGCAGAGATCGGCCTGCGTAAGTATCACTGGTTCTGTGAGCACAGCCCTTGTGGTTGCCTTCAAGGTTCTGACTGGTGTCTTGCTCCCTTCATTGGTGGCAGAAGCAGAGGACAAGGCCTTAGCTTATATATTTAGGGCCACAAGTTTTTCGTCTGGTACAGGTTAAGATGTAGGTCATGCCCGAACCCTCACCAAATCCACTTTTCAGATAAAATCAGTGTACAATGTTACCAATGATTGCTATTTGGAGCTCCCTCTGAAGTGGTAATCACATCATGTGTATACTGGCTGCCAACTCGGTCTATGACTCTTCAGTCCAAAGGGCTAATTTCAGTGAAGAGAGAAGAGGTTACCCTTTCCACTTCATGCACATGCCAATGTTCCTGATAGATGTTTATCCAATTCTAGCCTGTGCAAAGGATTGTGTAGAAAGGGCATATTTACATATGGTCAGGCAGCCAAGTGGTTTTGCAGGCCCTTAAGATGTCAAGCGTGACATCACAGCTTGTACAAGAATGTTGGCAGTAAATGTGTGTCCTGTCTTTTCAAAACAAGGTCGTTGGTCCCAGTGGGATTCAGAGTAATATGAATCCAGATGTCTTGGGAGGGGCAAGATCAAACAGCCCATTCTTCAGCCCTAAGCCACCAACTTCAATCTCAACATTGTTGGCAGGGTCAGGAGGAAAAGGCAATCTGAACACTGGACTACAGCAGTAGACATGACATGGCTGAAGCTCTTCGCTGAAAGCACTTCACACAAACTACCTAGGAACCTACTGGCTTTGGACAGAAAACAATGTATGTTTGTGACGGGGTTACTTACTGGCCACTGTATTCCGAGGCAGTACCAATACATCTTGGGCTTTTCAAGAAATGCCACATGCAGGAAATGTGGTCAGGAGGAAACATCCTTCTACCATATACTTTGTCAATACCCAGTTTCAGCTGAGCATAGACTACAGATCTTTGACTCTGCATTATTTAAGCCGGTAAATATCATGAGGGCCTCAGTCAGGATGGTTCTGACTACAACATTACAGTCAGGGCTATTTAAAGCGCCCTAACATCAGAAAAGTGCAATGGACCTAGCAGCAATCTGACTACTTTCGACAAACAGGAGGGTTGTCCCCTATAAGTGAATACCAAACTTTCCGTTCTGGCGTACTACTTAGAACAAATTATATTACTTTAACAGACACACAAGATTTTATTAGTACAAAGTGAAAAAAAAGCTTTACTCACCAATAACGTCTGCCGATTTATATTTGGCTGTAAACCAAGCATCATCACCAAACTGTCCTTTTTTAAACCTTGCATGAGCCAATTCTTTCGGAAATCCACATACAGCAGAAACTATACGGGACTCACGCTTTCTGTTCACGTTCGGTTCAGCACAATTCGAATAATTAGAAATTCCATTCCACAAGGCACGAGACAGTAGCCTCCCAGTCCAAACAATGGACTGCATCATAGAAAATTACCTTAAAGTTAGTCACGCTTCATTTTGAATGAGATAAATCCCACTGACACTTAACTTTCACAGCAGAAACCTAACACCTAGCCACTACCAGCAGCCATTAGTCCACAATCGCAAAAGTGCGTTCTGTACGATGATTACTTCATGGTTCCGTGTACCAGGGTGGGACTGCTGTTCGGAAATGGGACCAGAGAGATAGCAAGATCTATGTCCGTTAAAACACGTACATGTATTGTCCAACAATGAACACGACCATTCGTATTTATATTTGGTTTCAGTGGAGATTAAAGCGTATATTAGCATAATTATTCTTAGATATCGGTGTGTGTATTCGTTTTTGTTAATGGTGTTCCCAGCTACTTGATTATTTTGAGTGTGCATTAACAAACTCAATTAATTTTCAGATGACCAATGTTGGGTGGTTGGTATTGTCGTTCAATGCTAACAAATACAGAGGAAGATGAAGAAAGTCAAGAAGAAACTATAAATTATAAAACACAATATAGAAGTTTAAAACGGAAGTTAAAATTTCTTATTTATGTAAGGAACGCCTGGTACTGTCATACTATAAAAAGTTACTACGAAATTATACGCTTTTCTTTTATAATGACGTTGTGCAACCTAACCTAACTTAAGCTTGCAAGTTGTGCGTTCATGAGGAAGAACACTTGCTTATGCAAAGATAACACCAGATATTCTGCTCTCATTGTGAGCATTTTTAGGGCAGATGTTATGGCACTCTTTGCATCGGAAAGAGGTCTTCCTGTTCTGATATATAGATGTATAAATGATTGTTGTGCTAAGTGTAGGCGAATGTTGAAGTGTTAGAGATAAGCCATATGATGATATGGAGAAGGCAAGTAAAGTAGTTCAGCACATCATCTGTCAGTTATATTAATTGTAATTGTAAAAAGGTAAAGTAAAGCTATCCCCATAACACCCTGAAGGCCCATAAGGTTGTGAGATGTTGAGGCTCCCACATTTTCTCTAGACAGTCGGCTCACAGAGGGCGCTAAGGTTATCAGCCTTATGTGCCAGTCATCCTTCAACCCCCAGGAAGATTCCTGGTACTCATTTGTGATAGAGGTTGAGTCAGTCCCAGGGCCATAGTGGGGCTGAGAGGATTAGGTAAACTGGAACCATCACTATACTGTAGTTATTTCTGTATCTTTATCTAATATGGGAGATCAGTGTTTATTCTCAAAGTGATAATTATTTGACATTTTCATCACCTTAGGGGCAATTCTAATCCAGACAAATGATCAAATAGCTTTAGGGGAAACTATATAAACAATTTTTAAGATACATGAGGGCCCATGCAGTAAGCCTTTACATAAGCCTTGGTAGCTGAGATGTTGGGTATTACAGTATATAAACGTGTAAAGTTAAAACAGAGTTGTCAATTTCAAACGTTATTTTGCACATTTTAATAAGAGAACAAATTTTGTTGTATTTTTCTGTAGTCCTATTTCAGATTTATTTACTTACTTACAGAGACTGATAATTTCCAGTCATATTAAGCTAACAAGTCATTGGAATGATGTCATCAGAATATTAACAGGGTTTGTGTGTAATATGGTTAGGTTAGCCTTCGCCTCAGCAAAGTGATTTATAATTATAAATTATATAATATAATATAATTATATATATAATTATAATCAATCAATATTTTGCAATTGAATATTTATTTCCTATTACATGTTTCGGTCTCATAAGACCATCATCAGGCAGTGATATAAGAATATCTCTAGTATCATTGAACTCCTAATATGGATCCATATTTGGGGCAACATGTCACACTCTTACTTACTTTCTCGTGGAGCTGAACCCTTCTGGAGGAGCCGCTAATTGTGCAGCTACTCAAGAATTTCCCAGAACCTTATGGAACCCGAAGGTTCCATGTTCACAAGAGCCCTCCACTGGTCCCTATCTGGAGCCAGATCAATCCAGTCCATACCATCCCATCCTATCTCTCTAAGATCTATTTTAATATCGTCCACCCACCTACGCCTTGGTCTTCCCAGTGATCTCTTTCCTTCTGGCTTTCCCACCAATATCCTATGCGCATTCCTCGTCTCCCCCATTCGTGCTACATGCCCTGCCCACCTCATCCTCCTTGACTTGAACATTCTATTTATACTATGAGAAGAGTACAAATTATGAAGCTCCTCATTGTGCAGTTTTCTCCAAACTCCTCTCACTTCATCTCTCTTCAGTTGAAATATTCTCCTCAACACCCTGTTCTCAAACACCCTCAGTCTATGTTCCTCCCTTAATGTCAGAGACCAAGTTTCACGCCCATACAGAACCACAGGCAAAATTATAGTTTTGTATATTCTAATTTTTATGTTTTTGGACAGCAGACAAGACGACGTAAGGTTCTGGACTTAATGGTAGCAAGCATTGTCTGAGTTCAGTCTCCTCTTAATTTCTTCCTGAATCAGGTTTTGATTTGTTACAATTGTTCCCAAATACCTGAACTGTGCCACATTTTCAAAACATCTGTTTCCTATCTTTATGTCATGATTTTGCCCTGCATTTTGGTGATGAGACGGCAACATATACTTAGTTTTCTCTGTGTTTACTTCTAGACCAACCTCTTTACTTGTGTCAGTTAAAGTTTGTGTGCTTTTCTTTATGGTATCTACATTATCACCCAGTAGATTCACATCATCGGCATAGGCCAACAGCTGATGTGTCCCGTTTAGTTTCAGTCCCACCTGGTTTCCCTGGACCTTCCTAATGGAATATTCTAAGGCAAAGTTGAAAACAAGTGGCGATAAAGTATCTCCTTGTTTTAGATCATTCTGGATAGGAAATTTATCAGACAAATGTTTACCTATGCGGACTTTACTATACGTGTCATTTAAATACTTTTAATCAACCTAACTAGTTTCATGGGTATCCCAAATTCTATCAGAATATTGTACAATACTTCCCTCCTAACTGAATCATAGGCTTTCTTGAAGTCATGAATAGTGGATGTACTGTCTCATTATACTCCCATTTTTTCTCCAGTATCTGACGAATGCAAAAGATCTGATCTGTAATTGATCTGTTACGTCGAAACCCACACTGATGCTCCCCAATAATTTTATCTATGTATGGACTTAACCTTGAGAAAAGAATATTGAAAAAAATTTTGTATGAAGTTGATAGCAGTGATATCCCCTGAAAATTACTACAGTCAGTTGTATCCCCCTTCTTGTGAACTGGTACAGTAATAGACTCCTTCCACTGATCAGGCAATTTTTCCTTATGCCAAATAGAAGTAATTAGATTGTGGATCTTTGACCATAATTTTTCGCCGCTTGCTTGAATAAATTCTGGAATTTGATCACTACGTGGCAATTTATACCTTTTCAATTTTGCAATAGCACTTTCAACCTCAAAAGGGCTAGGATCAGGTACTAACAGCTCAGCTGTATGGATTTCTGTCTGTCTAACATCACTGACCGTATGTACATTCAATAACAGAGATGTAGTTCGTCCACATATTCAAAATGTTGTGAGAATCTGCAAGCAGATCACCATTCTCATCCTTCACTAAGTTACTACTAGGCTGGTAACCCCTCTCGGAGTCATTTATTCCTCTATACAGGTCTCTAAGTGTTCTTGTTCTTACTGTTCATTGCAAGTTCCCCCTCCCCCCAGATATTCCCTCTTTTTGTCCCTGAAGTGCCTGCAGGTTTCACGTCTTATATTGTTCAGATTATCCCCAGTTAACTCACTTTGATCCTGTAACCATTGCAGATTGGCCTGCTTTTTTGATCTAATAATTTTGAGCATCCTTCATCGAACCATGGCTTATGCTTCTTCGGTTCATAATAACTGAGACTCTCTTTGGCAGACATTTTTATAATCTTCTGTTGGGGCATGAACATTTGTAAGGTTGATATCACACCAGCGACCTTTTAGTATTATATATGATATCCTATCATGAATGAACTCTACCCTCTTAACTGCTGATACGATTCTCTTATGTACGAAAAAACCTGTACCTAATTCATGATTTTCATTCCCCTTTCCATAGAAAAATGTATAGTCTCCTGCTGGTGCGATGCCGCCTCCATCCCATCTGACCTCCTGTACTCCTGCTAAATCTAACTTATATTTTAAGATTTCTTCTGCCACTGCCCTGAGCGAACCTGCCCTATACAAACTTCGAACATTCCAGGTGCCAAATTTCATATCCATTTGCTTTAGCTTATGTCGTTTCTCCAAGGAATCCATCCAGGTCCAAGGCTTTGTGTTAATTTTTATAACATAGTTATTTTTTATGGTGAGGAGTTGTTAGCGCCACGCCCAACCCCCAAGCTGGAGGACCACCCCTCGTCGGCTGTCCACGACTTCTTATTCACTATATTTGCAGGTTCCCTCCAAAACTAGTGGGTGTCTCCTCCATCTGCAACCTGAGGACATGCCATGCCATGGTGGGACCCACCTTACATGGATGTCATACTCTATGATACAAAATTTTTGTCTCAAGTTGAATATAAGTATTGAAATTAAATACATAAAATATCAAGGATATAATAACAAATATAAGTATACTGACTGTATTAAATATTATTAAAAGTATTGAAAGGTGTAATAAAATTATTAGAAGTTATTAAAACTTATTAAGAAATTGTTAAAAATTATTGTGATGTGTTGCGCTATGGATGACTCCCTGCCAACCGTGACGTGCCGAGCGGAGCCGAAGTGAGCCGAGTCCCAGCACACTGGTCGCTATGCAACTCGAGTAAACAGTGGTTGCTAGGCAAAGCGGGTAAACAGTGGTTGCGAGAGACGATGGTAATAACAGTGGTACCCATTACATAACACCTGTAAACACGGCGCCAGACAACAGTGGTGCCAATGACATGGCTGTTCTATGTGTTGTCCAGAACGGGGATAAATAAGGAGCAGCGAAGGCTATTCACAGTTCGTTCTCAAATTATGAGTTAGCCAGGCAGTCAACCTTTCAGTGGTAGTCTAGTATTTGTGATACTGCCAATGACAGTAATTGTCAGATTGTAATTAGTGTGAATGTAAGAGCGAATGTGAAATAAAATTTGCTATATCAAATACGGCGTGAAATTATTTGTCGCATTATACACCAACACGTGACATTATGTATGCCAAGTATCAAAGTTATACTGCCCAATGTAGTGTTAAGCTACATCATTCTATAGTTCGTGGACCCATGTTGTTAAACGTCCACATATGAACAGTCCTAGTGGCCAGGAGTATGATGTATGAATGTATATGGAAGCTATTGTAAAGAGTTGCTATGTGTAGTGCTAACATACACGTGTGCCTCGATATAAGTTGTGTGATACTGTGGTCGTGTGCACTTCCTTGTATGGGCATTATACTAAGTATGTACTTCACCATGTTTAAGCTCATTGTAATATTTGTGACTTAATTGCATCATACACTGTTCTGCTTTTGTGTAACATCAAAAAAAAAATAGCTCTGAATTTGTGATCCAACTTCTATCCACATTTTTCCTACTTTATCATCGTTTATTTTTTTCATCCTGTAATATGTGTGTATACATAATCTCTGCAGTTGATTTGACATTGTTAAATACTTCACCGAAGTTCTAAGTGTGTTCTGTTGGGGAAAGCAACCAAAATACAGTAAAACTTGGTTATAGCAACATCGGTTTCTGCGACACCTTGTCTATTGCGTCAAATATTCAATGGTACGAACTAATTCCTCATAAAGCAACTGTTTTGATACCTTGCTTAGTACGACATGCACAATTGCATCAACCTCGTATGTAACGTCATTTTCATTCCTGAATTTCTCTGATATTGTGGGAAAGTTCTTGCTGACGTGACTGTCCTGGAAGAATACGACCGCGGGCTGCAAGAGGAGCGTGGGTTTTATGCGAAAACAAGGGTGTGGGGTGGGACTGCGTGAATAGTGCAAGAGGACGCGGCAGGTTGTTAACTGCATTCCTTTCCTAGAATCTCGTCTAACAGGACCTCACATTGTCTACTTACACTATAGTATTCCTGCCTAAACCCAGAGAAGTGCAGTAGCGAAAACATGGCAATGAAAAGGAAAGTTTTAAGCATTGAAGAGAAAGTTAAAGTGATTCGTGAAATATTGTGTGTATTGTCAGTGAAAAGCGCTGTAATATGTCTTTGATATTACACATTTGGGCAATTCCACGTTAATGTTACGTTAGTCTGTACTTAACTACGTATTTCACTAAAAAATACAACACTTTAACTCGGTTTTTGGTAGATTTTTACGTGACTAACATAAGGGTACTGTGGAAGTGCCCATTTCGGTTACAACAACATTCGTTTATAACGACACTATTTTTAGGTCCGTTTGATGACGTTATAACCAAGTTCTACTGTACATTTACACTGATTCTCAGAAGAACACAGCTTCAGTGTCATGATGTATAATATTAAGTGAGCATGTATTATTTATATAAAGTCACTTTTCACAGATAACACTGAGTAAGTTGACATAGTGGTAATGCACTAGTCCAGTGTTCAGGAGGTATTTGGTTTGAATCTTGACCAGGACAACAGCTATCCTGGCTGAGAATTTTCATGGTTTTCCTTAGCCCTTCCAGGCAAGTGCTGGAATACAAGTAGTACCTCGATTTGACCATGATTACTTCCTTCCATCTTAGTTCATATTTAAAGTCTGTCAGTCGCCCTGTCATTTGATATTATGTAGTCTGGATACTAAATAAGTTCACATAAATTCACAGGAGAATGAGTGTTTCCAAGAAGATCTACGTTCTACACAGCGACGCTTACTCAAAGCAAGCCGCGATCGAAGCTTCCTATTAGACCGACTGTTGCAGTATGAGAAGGTTGATGTGTCATCAAGTGAAAGTGAAGAAACAGAATCTTCGGATGAGGGTGAGACAAGCCGTCCTGACACTGCAAAAAGGTCTGAATCTTACATCACTTCAACTTTTGCCATTGAGAAATAGAGATAGTAAATCCCTCAGTACTGTGAGATTGGCAGCCATATTTGAATTTGGGGTAACAGTTTGTTTGCCTTGAACATGGATTTTAAATTTCTCAGTTCTATGGGACTTCTGGGCATATTTTTACTCTGGGTATAAGGCTAACTTACTTACGTCTGCCCTCCTTGAGAAACTGCCAGAGATGCAACTACTCAAGAACATCACAATATTCTATGGAAACCAAAGGTTAATCACTGTGTTCAAAGAGCCTTCCACTGGTCCCAATCCTGAGCCAGATCAATCCAATCCATAACACTCCAGCCCACCTCTCCAAGATCCATTTTAATTTCATACACCCACCTACATCTTGGTCTTCATGGTGGTCTCTTTCCTTCTGGCTTTCCCATGAATGTCCTATATGCATTCCTCTTTGCCACCGTTCATGCTACATGCCCTTCCCATTTAATTCTCCTTGATTTGATCGTTCTAACTGTACTAGACAAAGAGTACAAGATATGAAGCTCCTCATTATGCAGTTTTCTCCAATCTTATGTCACCTCACCCCACTTCGATCCAAATATTCTCCTCAGCACACTGTTCTCAAACACCCGCAGTCTATGACTTTCATAGTATGCATCCTGTTGCATGTCATTCAAGAAAATATAAATGGGGCAGTCAACACAACAATTTATTCAAACTGAGATGAACTAGGTAGTACAGTGTCAACATTTGTTTATTGGTGCAGATGTTAATGCTACATGTTTCGACTTTTTTAGGTCATCTTTAGGCACACATGAAACAATAGTGATAAGTTATTGAATATGTTAGTAATATGAATGCATATATAGGTGTATATTATTTGATCAAAATTTGAGTTCAGTATTGTGATATTATAAAACCTATTAATATAAGATACTACTCCCCCAATCGTATCGGGGGGGGGGAGTGT